GGGGCCCATTGCGCGTCTCTCGGCGCCGGCATGGGGCGCCTTCGAGAGAGAGAAGGAGACGCCCCCACCGCGGCCCCTTGGGGGCACACAGGCAGAAGACGGCATACGGGGGGCCAAGGTGACTGGAGTTCAGACGTGGGGGGGGGGGGGGGGGGGGGGGGAAGGGCCCCGAAGCCGAGGGCTGTGCGGCGAAACGGCCTGGTTGCGCTCACACAGCGGCCCCCCATCCCGAGGGTCTGGCCGCGGGTCGGTGCCCCGCGCTCTGGAGATGAACTTTAAATGAGCACCGGACGCGGCTGCTCGTGCGGAGGAACGGCCGCGCTCGCCCGGCCCACAATGGGCCCGGGACTTCTCCCGGCCCGGGGCACAACGAGCCGGACGTCCGAGGCCCGGGGCACCGGGATTCCGCGGTAGATCGGGGCACAGCCCCCCTCTCCCCCCCCCCACGCCCCCAGCATTGGAGTTAAACCGGCGCTGGCATGGCATCCTACAGGCCGGAACCCGGCAGGCTGGGCAGCGGCCTGGCTCCGTCTGGTGGATTATTTATTTCGGAAAATGCCACGACCCGGCGTGGGAGAAGGCGCCCGGGCGGAAGAGAGGAACGCGGCGGGGGGGAGAACGCGGACTCCTGACCGAACACCGATCCGAGCCTGCCCTCCTCCCCCCCCCCCCCGAAAGCAGACCGACCCGAGCGACCAGGCGAGTGGCATGGGGGGGAGGGGGCGCCAGGCCAAGAGCCCTGTCTGAGGGAGGGGCAATACCGCTGAAACATGGGACGGAAAGAAACCCGCCAGCGCAGGAGAGAGAGAGAGAGCCCAGGAAACTGTTGATTGGAGACCGGCCAGCCAGTGGTGCGCCTCTTCGGCGCCCCTCGCCCCCCGCCACCTGACTGAGGGGCGGCCGAGGGGGAACCAGTGTGCGCCACATGCATGGTTCTCGGGGGTGCCGCCAGGAGGGTCGCAAGTCCCCGGCCGTGACCGGGCTCATGCGCCACACAGGGACGGACGCAGCCCCAGACACGTCCACCCAGCCCCCCACATGCACACACAGACACACACCCACCCCCCACTCCGGGGAGAGAGACCGAGAGAAGTACAAGAGAAGGGCCAAGCCATGTGCGCGGCCGCGACAAGGCGGCCTCCGGAGGCCTGCAGGCGTGGCCCCCAGCCCGCCCCCCCCCCCCCCCCCCCCGGCCCTCCCCGCCTTCCGAAACGGGCCCGGTCGATGGCTGACCGTCAAGCCGGGGTCACCACACTGGGGCAGCCGCACGGCAGCGGCCGCCATGCGGTCGTCGCCACACGCCGCACGCCGCAAGTCGCAAGTCGCAAGCCGCCGGTCCAGAGGGCGACCGGGGGATCCAACGCCTGCCAGACCTGCCGGCGGCGAGGGACAAGAAGATGCGGAAACCTGTTAACATGGAATAAAAAAAAAGACACGCCCACACGCATGCTCGAGAAAGGCCAGCCCATCGCTGCGTTGGTACCTCTCGAACGCCTTTGGGCGTCCCCCCCCCTTCCCCCCCGACAGGCGAGGTGCCCGCCCGGGCCTCGCCCACGCCGTGGCCGCCCCATACCCGGGGGCCCCCGGCAGCGCGCGGCCGACATGCATGGGGGGGAACCACCCCGGGGCGTGCTTTCCTGCCACCCTCTCCGTCTCTGCCCCCCCACCTGCTGGAGACCGACATCGGCCGGTCCAACGCCTCCAACTACGGGCTCCTCCGCACCGTGTTCGAGGTCAACCTTGGCCTTTTCCCTTTGGCGCCAGGGCGAGCATCTTCAGCTGGGCGAGGAGGAGGATGGTACGCATGACTGCCTGCGCGGGGGCCTGCTCCCCCCCCCCCCCCCGCCCCCCCCCCCCCCGTTTCTCCCCCCCCCCCTCAACCTCGAGAAAATGAGGGGCCGGCCGGCCGGCCTAGCGGGGCGGCGGCTGGGAGCTGCCGACCTTCCGCCTGCTCGTCTACCGGCCCCCGCGTCCGGTGGGTCTTGTGTGGGGCGCCGGAAGCGGGCGCCTGGCCAGTTAATCCCGACTCCTTTCCGTCCGCCCCCCCTTCCGGGCTCGGCTACAGACACGGCTCGAGGGCGGGCCGACCCGGGAAATGAAAAGGGCGAAAATCGTGGGGTGAGTTTCCGTAGCGGAAATTACCCTCCAAACAGCATTCCCCCCGGTGGACCGCGCACGCTCAAGAATCAAGTTCTGTAAGCACATGCGCGACGGGAGCGTGATACTCCCCCGGCGCCTCCGTTCGCCCCCCCCCCCGCCCTCTCCGCCGACACAGGGCTCGTCTTGCGGCCAAAAAGCGCCGAAGGACCAAACCATCCCCCCCCCCCTCCCCAAGGCATGGCCATTTCCATGGGATATGGATGGGAAACAGCGGAGGAGGGGAAACAGGGGCGCAGGCGGATGGATGTGGGGGCAAAAGCAGCACAAGACATATTTGTGTATTTGTCGAGCCCATGTGCTCTATTTACGGGGGGGGGGGGGGCGGGGGAGCCTCTGCGGCGATTCCCCTCATCCCGTGCCCTGGGTGGGGGAGGGAAAGGGGTGGCGAGGTGGCATGCCATAGCATCGCCTCTGGCTCCAACCCGGCGAGGGGGAGGAGGAGGAGAGCCAAAAGGGCCGTGGAATGCCCCGTGCCTATCAAAACCCCCTTCCCAAGGGGCACCACCTCCCTGGCCGTGCACAACGCAGCTCCCACAACCAGAAGAGGGAAGAGGGAGAGAGAGAAAGACCGAAAGAGGGGCCCAAAGCATGCTTGCGACGCTCTCGCGCTTTCCGGAGGGGGAGGGGGGAGGGGGGGAGATACGCGTACAGCAGCCAGGTGTGCCACTTGGCGCTCCGCCGAAGGGCGAGGGAGAGGGGCCGCCACTTTGTAGACTCAGAACAGACGCTTCTCCTTCTTGAGGGAGGTCTGCTTCCAGCGGGGGATCTTGGCGAAGTCGGACCGCGTCATGCCGAACACCTGGGCGAACTCCTCCTCCGAGAGGTACTCCTCGAGGCGAGTCTTGTCCACGCCCTCGAGGGCCTTGGCCGCGGCGGAGTTCGGGTTTTCGGCCACCATCTTCAGAACGGTGTACGAGTAGGTGGACACTTCGAAGCGACCGAGGGCCTCCAGGAGAGGGATGGAAGCCTAGCGCGAGCCATGGGAACGAGGTAGACAGGCAGAGGGGGGAGAGAGAGAGAGAGAGAGAAAGACAAAGTCAGTCGACCCATGGGGAAGGGGGCAGAAGGCGGGCCGGCAGCAGGAAGGACACGCCAGACGCATGGCCAGCCATGCAGATTGCACGCGCGCGGAAGGGCAAGCATGCAATGCGTACCGTGGCCGGACCATCACGCGAGGGCGATGAGAGCCCGCCGGCGGTCGGCGAGGTGGCCGCCGCCGAGCCGGCCCGCATGGCCGCATTGGCATGGGCACCCTGGAAGAGAACCTGCCCGGTGAGGGCCGGATGCCCGTCGGTCCAAGTGTGGAAAGCCTGCTTGAAGGCCAGGGGCTCGCGCGTGGCGCTGGTTACCCAGAGCCCGGCCCCCGGGCGAAGGGTGGATTTGGTGGCATCGCGCGAAAAGCGCCCATAATCACGGACCACCTCCATGGCCATGCGCTTCTCGGTGACATTGGACTTCAGCCCACACCAAACAAAGGCCTCATGGACCACAGCCCCGGGGCCATGGGGCACGGCGGCGCCCGGCCCGGACGCCTCAGATCCCGGGTAATGCTCCAGCAGCAGGATCATCACATGGTTGGTGTCCAGGTCATCCTGCATGAAGGTCTGTCCGCTGTCGGTGATGCTCGAGGCAATGGACCGGATGCTGCCTCCAAGCGAGGACGCCGAGGCGATGGCATCCACCGGCGCCGGAGTCACCGGCTCCACAGTCACCACACCCGAAGCATTGGACACCAGCAACAGATGCCGCCGGGTCCGAGCCAGGCGCTCCTTGCCGCTGGACACCGCACGCTCGGGGATCTCCAGCCGCGCGACCTTGCGCGCGAGGGTCGAAGAGGTGACCAGCTCGTCTGAGTGCCGGCAGGGCGCCAGGAGGAAGAGACACAGAAACCGGGAGAGAGAGAGAGAGAGAGAGGGGGGGGGCGGGGGGAAGACGGCAGGGAACATTCGTCAGCGGGCGAGGAGCGGCAGAGGAGGGAAGCATTCACCGAAAGACCCAACACGCAAGGGGACACGAACAGGATACGGAGCCCACCGAGCGCCAGTCCACCAGCCCAAAGAAGTTGAAGCGCTGGCCGGCAGTCGGCTGAATGCGATCGAAACGTGGGACCTTGTCCGAGAGCCCAGGCAGCGAGTCGATAAACTGCTGCTCCACGCTGCCCAGACGCGCGCCGGACCAGCAGAGAATGCTGCACTTGGCCGTGACCGACAGGCGCGGCTCCAGCACGAGCATCGCATGGTCCGGGCTGAAGGCGAAGTCTTTGGATGGACAAACAGGCGCCAGGGCGCGAGCAACGGGCAGAAGAGCAGGAGGAGCAGGAGAAGGGGGAGAGAGTGTGAGTGAGAATGCGAGCAACAGAGATAGAGAGCCCAGCAAACCGCGGCGCATGCTGGGCTGGCCGAAGAGACGGGAGGGGGGGGGGGGAGCACGAACCGGTGGTGTCGACCTCGAAGACTCGGACATAGTGACCTACGGAGGACTGGCGAACCTCATACACCCGCGGGTGGGAGATAATGTCCTTCTCTTCGGACGAGCCGATCTGCGAGAACTTCCCCAGGTGCACGACAATGGCTGTCGGCAGTATGTGTGTGTGTGTGTGTGTGTGTGTGTGTCCGCGCAGGGTAAGTGCCGGCGAAGGGCTCACAGGTTGGTTATCTTCGGTGCCGGGGTGGCAGGAGGGGCTGCAGGCAGACCACTAGACCAAGCCAGGGGAAGGGGTAAAGAAAAAAAAAAAGGAAGACACGCGCACCCTTTCCGAAGAGGTTGATGAAGTGCCCCGGCTCGCGGCCCTGCGTCACACGGAACTGCAGCACCTCGGCAAAAGACTCCGGCGCATCAGCAACCGGGGTCTTGGGCGTATCCGGCCCGGCGCCCTCGGCCCCGGCTCCGGACAGCACTTCCGATACGTTGATTGTCTCAACAGCCGCGGCACCACGGTCCATAATGGGGGCCCGGGCACATTGGTAGAAGTATACGATGCACCGGCGAGCCGCACGCACCCGGTACGAGAAAGTGATGACATAGCTGTTTGGCGCGAAAGGGGGGACAGATCAGAAACCAGCTCTCCAATTGACGCAGGGG